ACATTAAAGACATGTATATATTAGAAAGGTATGTGTCTTAATCTCTGACGTAAAGATGAGTCAATAAAGGGCATTACATTAAAGGCATATATATATTAGAAATGTATGTGTCTTAATCTCTGACGTAAAGATGAGTCAATAAAGGGCATTACATTAAAGACATGTATATATTAGAAAGGTATGTGTCTTAATTTCTGACGTAAAGATGAGTCAATAAAGGGCATTACATTAAAGACATATATATATATTAGAAATGTATGTGTCTTAATCTCTGACGTAAAGATGAGTCAATAAAGGGCATTACATTAAAGGCATATATATATTAGAAATGTATGTGTCTTAATCTCTGACGTAAAGATGAGTCAATAAAGGGCATTACATTAAAGGCATATATATATTAGAAATGTATGTGTCTTAATCTCTGACGTAAAGATGAGTCAATAAAGGGCATTACATTAAAGGCATATATATATATTAGAAATGTATGTGTCTCAATCTCTGACGTAAAAATGAATCAATAAAGGGCATTACGTTAAGCACATATATAACAGATATGAAAGTGTCTTGATATGTAAAGCATTAAGCACTACCTCCGCACTGTTGCCGAGGTGGGAAACTTATATAGGATTAATAAGATTAGTTTTTGAACTCCTGAACAGTTTGAACTATTTGGATGAGTTTGACCAACATGAGCGCTTGCCAGCATTATTTAACGGAATTCATATCAACTTACTGTTACTAACATAGATTTAGTTTTATATTGTTGAATACAAATAATTTTAGACGTTTTTAGTAGATCAGAAACGTGTTTGCGTCGTAGGTTCAAGAAAAAACTATTAAAATGTTTATTTAATTCTATAAATCCGCACTCAAAAGAAGTCGGTAGAATTGATCTTCAAAATGTTTAATTTTTAATCATTCAAAACTGAGGCCCAGCGGGTTTACAACCGGCCTGATATGTTACTTCACATCTGTGGTAACGGATCACCAGTGGTGCTTTATTCACTTCATCGGTTTTTGTAAGGACGGTAAAAATAAAGTAAAAATCGGGAGGTTAAAATACCCTTACTGTTAATAAAAATATCACTTTTAGTCTCGTTTAATGTTAACTGATTATATTACTGACTTAAACTGTTACTAATACTTAGCTATAACTCGATACGTTGATATATACACAATAAGGTGTACAAATTAAGGAATTATAGGAACTTACTGTTATGTAGAGTTTTAACAGCTACTTCAACACAAACTTCCTTTCCTGGAATTTGCAGCTCACCCTTGTACACTCGTCCGAAATGACCTGCGTGGAAAACAAAGACGAGTGAGTACACGACGAAATATTTTAACTTTGACCCAAAATAACCTGATTGGAAAACAAAAACGAGTGAGTACAAAACGAAACATTTTAACTCTGACCCGAAATGACCTGTGTGGAGAACAAAGACGAGTGAGTACAAAACGAAACATTTTAACTTTGACCCGAAATGACCCGTGTGGAGAACAAAGACAGAGTGAGTAATTTCGGGTCAAAGTTAAAATGTTACGTTTTGTACCCACTCGTTTTTGTTCTCCACACAGGTCATTTCGGGTCAAAGTTAAAATGTTATGTTTTGTACCCACTTGTTTTTGTTCTTCACACAGGTCATTTTGAGTCAAAGTTAAAATGTTTCGTTTTAGACCTGTGTGGAGAACAAAGACAGAGTGAGTACAAAACGAAACACTCTAACTTTGACGTGTGATTTATGAAAACTATAAAAATTAATATTTTCAGTGAAGAATTTTTAAAATTAAGTATTGTGTTTTATTTCTTCCATTGGTTAAAATGTTATAATAAAAAAATGAAATAATATACACATTTGTGTCATCAAACGCGTCCATGATAAACCACAAAAAGAAAGAAGGAAAAATATTGTTGTTGGGCTAAAATATCTGTTCACGAATCTCGGCGAATATTTTTTCTTGTTTTATTTTTAAAGAAAAAAAAATACTGAACAAATCTAATCTTCAGCTCCCAGAAGTTGTTACCATTGTTAATATCAGGTGGGTCCTTAGATTCTACCTAAATCGTCGAATGACTTTACTCTGTCGAAAAAAATTACAAGGGGAAATTATAATAAATATTACATTATATGTCGGCTTCATTTCATCAGAGCATTACTTTCTCCTTTTTAAAATTACACAAATTAATAGCTGTGTAGTCTGAAAACCTTCTATTTGGTAAAATGTAGAAAAAGCACAATTAATTTCAATAAGCTCCACTAGATGGCACGAATAGAGATATTGTAAAGCATTTGCTTCAAACACGTTTTATACTATCGCTTTTATTTTCTTTTGATGGAGTGGGTGGGGGGCTGTAAAACGTCTTGCCTCTACACTGCTACTGATAAGAGGTATTAATAAATGTTTGTTTTAGAAATACTCAGCAGAATTACACTGATCAACATGAAGACTTCCCAGTTTTGCTTACTCTGAATTTCTATATTGCCTGCTTTATTAAAAGTAATAGTCACCATGAAATACGCTGGATTGTCATAGTTTGTATGCAAATAAAACATATGTTAAAATAAAAGCACCCAAAATATTTTACCCATGATAATCGAATTTTAGGACCTAAAAATAAGTAATCAGAACGAGAGAATCCATGCAAGATTTCAATTTATATTATTAAACACAATAAAGGAATATCTACTGAATACTCCTGTGTCATAGGATTAAAGTACTCACCCTGGCCAATGACTTCACCGAGTGTTAAATAATCTCTGGCAACTAAGATATTCTCCGCATTTAAAAGTTGTAAAGTTTCCTCATCTATCTCACAGGTGTCAGACGTGATGCAAGTGGTCGTAACCAAGGGTTGGTTGTCTGTCTGACGTCTTCGAACATCGAGGTAGTCTGATGAAACGTTATGTAACAGAAATAACACCAAATGTAAAATTTAAAATAAAAATTGTCATGATATATCGAATTAAAACACGTACTGTAATTTAAAATATAAAACTTTAAAAAATTAGTAAGAAAGAAAAAAAATGCATTTGAAATCTTATCAAGTTCCACAGCTTTCTCTGGCTTGCGTTAATGTTTACGAAAAATATCAAAGTTTTAGATATTTACGTTGCAATTATTGCCAAATACTTGTTTGTTCGTTTCAGATATTCACACAATGTTTCACGAGGGCTATCTGCATTAGTTATCCTTATTTTTGAGCTGATAGATTAGGGTGAAGGAAGCTAGTCAACAGCCCCCTTAAATCTTGTGTTACTTTAATTATATCTCTTATATCTCATCCGTGGCACTCGAAATGCGAGGTATGTTTTTACAGAAATGGGGCGCGAACCATGGATTCACAGTCAGGCACGCAAGCCACAAGGCCACGTCTTATCTATGATTATTCTAACTGAACATTTATTATCCCACATTTATTATCCCTTTAAAAAGCCTTCGAGTGGCTCAGCAGTAAGTTTGTATGCTTATAACGCTAAAAACCGGGTTTCGAGCCAATGGTGGGCACAGTACAGATAGCCTATTGTGTAGCTTTGTGCATAAATTAACTAATAACATACAAACAAATCAAAAGTACTCTGGTGGCTCAGCAATACGTTCAGTGGCTTATAACACTAAACTTCGGGGTTAGATCTCTGCGCAGATTGTGCAACTTGGCGCTTAAAAAACTAGCAAACTTTTTGAAAATCAAATAGAAATTCTGTCAAAAACGGAGATAAAAATATTTAATCGTGAGTTACATCACAACTTTCTAAATTCGTTTATAATAATCGAACTGAGTAATATTTAAAACGTGGCAATTTCAGTATCTTTCTCAAAGTTTAGCATAGGAAGTCGTGCTAATTGTGCAAAAAAACGTTTAACATGACTTCATTGACGTTTAAGTTATAAAATTATTAGGCCTGCTACATTGTTCAATTTAAAAGTATGTAATGTTTCAAAAAAAACAACTAAATATCAGGTATAAAAATTATAACAAACAACAGATCACAACCTTGCTATCTTTTAGTGTTAAACTACAAGTTCAGGTGCTAGAGTGACACCCTTCTGCCAGAAGTTTTGGTGCTAGAGTAACACCCTTCTGTCAGAAGTTCAGGTGCTAGAGTTACACCCTTCTGCCAGAACTTCTGGTGCTAGAGTAACACCCTTCTGTCAGAACTTCTGGTGCTAGAGTAACACCCTTCTGTCAGAAGTTCAGGTGCTAGGGTTACACCCTTCTGCCAGAACTTCTGGTGCTAGAGTTACACCCTTCTGCCAGAAGTTACGGTGCTAGAGTAACACCCTTCTGTCAGAAGTTCTGGTGTTAGTGTTACGCCCTTACGCAATAAATTCTAATGTTAGAGATTCTGGTGCTATTGTTTTAACCCTTCTGGCCTGAAATCTAGGATTAACTAAACGAAATGTTATGAAAAACAAACAAACCAAAATATGAACAGCAAAATTTGATAGCTTATCACCATTTTTAGGGTTACAAGGTGTTATGAAAAACAAACAAACCAAAATATGAACAGCAAAATTTGATAGCTTATCACCATTTTTAGGGTTACAAGGTGTTATGAAAAACAAACAAACCAAAATATGAACAGCAAAATTTGATAGCTTATCACCATTTTTAGGGTTACAAGGTGTTCTTATTTTACAGTTTCACAAATCATACCATTTTCCTCGTGTCTACGTCGCGTTGTTCCATTACACATATCAGATGACGTGTCAGAAGTGTAGGACACCATATAGGCTGGTATTCGGGTTTTCCTAGCCTTTCTTCGTTGTAAGAAGATCAGACAGACGATAAATAGAATAAGAACTACAACGATAGGAACGACAATGGATATGATCTTTACAGTGTGGTTGTTTTCTATGTTTTCTACAAACTTAATGTAGCCCAAGTCAAATTCCAAACTGCCTGTTCGTACCTTAAAATAAAATAATAAACGTTTTTTTTTAAATTTATTTCATCTCGTACAAGGGTTCATACAGAATATTTCTATTTAATCTATTACATGTTATAAGTAATTCGAATATTCTGGTGACGCTGACGTAGCACTGAAGAACTAAACACAAGGAAACGTTTATGTCGTGCGTATATATTTTTTCCGAAATTATGAACCTATTTCGAAGTAACGAAATACTAACAAAACGGTGTTATTTTATCTTTTCTCTTATACATTTAACATAAGTTACAGTATTCTTAAGATAACGATCTTAAAAAGTACAACAATATATTTAAAATAATATTATAGAAACATCACATTTGCGAAGTACTTTAACCTGTGAATTATAGTGACAATGTTTTTATTCGCCCTCTATCGAACGTGTTTTAGAACATCGAGGGTATTTACTTTTAACATATCAACTGTTATTATTAAAATAAAGATTTTAATCAAACGGTTTCAGTAAAAATATGCATCATTCTTTCTTATTCCCAGATTTACTTCTCTGTCAGAATATATTATATTTTGTAGTTTACTAGTTCTATATTGTGTGCTTAGCAATGCTCTAAGATTACAATTTTTTTCTAATTTCAAACAATATAGGAATGTGACATAACTGCATTCTTGAGACTATGGCACTAGAACTACCCTAAATAACCTAAACTTTAAAATTTCAAATAATATAGGAATCTGACATAACTGCATTCTTGAGACTATGACACTAGAACTAGCCTAACTAACCTCAATTTTCAAATTTTAAACAATATAGGAATCTGACATAACTGCATTCTTGAGACTATGGCACTAGAACTACCCTAAATAACCTCAATTTTCAAATTTTAAACAATATAGGAATCTGACATAACTGCATTCTTGAGACTATGGCACTAGAACTACCCTAAA